GCTCGACCTTCAAGCCCACCACGGCTGCGGTAGATGCCAGATGGATGGAGGTAGTCCCCTTGAGGGACCGATTCACCGCCCTCGCGTCCACGATGAGTCGTAATCGCCATGACTTCTTCTTCACGAAAAAACTCCCACTTCAAAATCGCGACGAAGACGCAGCAAGACCATGTCCCGCCTAAGCAAGTCCTGGACACAGTTCAGTACTTGTCTCTGTTGGTGCGCAAAGTCTTATCCCAGTGGACCTTGGCAGGCTCTGTGCGGACCTCATCAGCACGAAGCTATAGCGAATGTTTACCGTTGACCACCTCCTGGTAATCTTGCTCCGGCAGCACCTCCAGCAAGCCCACGCAGCCCGCCGACTCGGGCCATGCAACCAGACTGCGATCACACGGTGCAACCACAGCGGGGCCATTTGGGCCGTTGCCCAGCGCCTCGGTACCGAGCAATTCCGTCAGGGCTGCCTCGGGGCTGGGATAAGGCTGGGGACGTCGTTCGGCGGGAGGTCGTCAGAGATCGCCTGCCAAACCATGTCCACAGCGGACAACTGCGCCTCCGAAGGTCTGGCCTTCGAGCAAAATTCGCCCTCCCGTACAAGTTGTTCAGGGTGGCGACGCAGTCGCTCACAGCGGGACCAACAGCAGACCTGCAGCCAATTTTCTGGGCAGCTCGACGAGGCAAAGACCTCGTGCCGCGGGCTGGAGGCACCGGCACCATGGGTAGGGGAAGTAGATCCCTGGGCACCATGCGCTCCAGCGGCCCGATGGTACCAGCTGGGGTCGGTCACACCCCAGCCTCGTCCAGCGCTTCATGACTTCTCCGGAGGAGCGCGCGCCAGCGCCCGCTCCTCCGCTGCCTTCCGCTCCTCCTTCGAGATGGCCGAATCCCTGGCCGCGGACTCGGCCACCCACTTCAGCAGCTCGGGGCTCACTCGCACCTCCAGTCCGCCGCGTGCGCCCCAAGCAGTAGTCCTGCGAGTCGAAAACCTTCTGAGTCTCCTTCTTCTTCTTCTTCTTCTACTTCTTCTTCTTCTTCTTATTATTCTTCTTCTTCTTCTTCTTCTTCTTTCTTCTTCTGGATCTTGTGCTCGATGAACTGCATGTGCCTCGCCAGCGCCTCCAAGCACGCCAGGTTGGAGACGTCCACCTCGTCGTAGGTGCAGGCCAGCTTCAGGATCTCCGACAGCATCTCATGGGCCACCACGCTGTGCTCGTCATCGATCAGCTTGTTCTCGTGCTTCCAGGTGGTGTGCCTCTACACTGGGTCCCCGCTCATCTTGGCGATCTCCTTCACCAAGTAGAGCGTTGTGCGCGGCCCGGAAAGCACCCAGTCGTCGAAGTCGCTGAGGTCTGCGTTCTCGGCCACGCTCCTCACCGACCTGAAACGCCTGCCCGCAGAGATTGACAGCGCGCGGTCGTCCTCCGCCGGCGCCGGCGGCGTCTAGGAGCCCTCCATCGGTTCACCGCCACCCGTCAGACCACTGAACGCACGCAGAGCCTCGCGCGCCTGGCCTGGCTCGAGGCGCGCCACTGACTGCCGCCTGGCCGCGGCGCCCCACGTCGTAGACGCTGGAGCCCCCGATGGCGCAGAAGGTCTCCGAGGGCGTGTCCAGCACGTCAGGCAGGGAGTACACCGCGCCGCGCTTCACCGCCGCCCACTCCACCACGCAGCACCAGTCGGCCCGCCGCGCCCTCGCAACCTCCTCCTCCTCGGGCGCCTCCGAGGGCAGCGGCAAGGGCGGCGGCGCTCCCAGCTGCACCTCGGGCCCAAGGGGCCCAGGCTCGATGGCCGCCAGCCCCTGCTCCTCGCGCAACTGCGACGCGAGGTCCTCCGCCTCCTTCATCAGCGCCTCCAGCTCGCCGGCCACGACGCGGTTGGCCAAGCGGTACGCCGGCTGCCCGCGCGCCGCGCCCAAGCCCGGCGGCAGCCCGCCGCGGGGGCCCACCTGCTTCAAGTCCGCCACGTTGCGCGTGTCGAACGTCTCCTCATAGACATCCCGATCGGGCGTCACGATGACGTAGGTCGCGCCCGCCACTGGCGGTCGCGCCCGCCACTGGCGCAAGCACCAGCCTCTCCTGCCAGGGTCCCCCCTCCACGCCGTAGTCGACGAAGATCGTGTCGCCGACCTGGAGGTTGAGCGCCCTGCGAACGAACCTGCGCTTCGGCGCCATGGTCCTGCACCTGCAGCGCAGGATCCTTGCCTCCTCTCTCGGCGCGGAAGCCCCACACGAGCACGCGGACCGAGACCAGACAGCCACACACCACACCGTCGCCTGGATCGCCAGCACCGTGGCGGCCCCGAGCAAGAAGCTGATTCCTGCCACGATCACCAACGAGCCCAGCGGCACCGGCGCGCCCCAGACATGGGTCTGCGAGAGGCACGCGTTAGCTGTGGTCGAGATGGCCAGCGCACACGGAGAGACATTGGAATCGAGCAAATTTGTTGGCGAGGGAGCGGGAGCGAACTTCGGGAAGTATGAGCCCCAGCCGAAATCTCCCGTTCGCCGCCAAAAGAACAACCGCTTGAACCGTAATGCTTAGGCCAGGCGACGACACATCAGCACTGCACGTTTCGTTTCACTGCTGCAACGCTCTGCTACGCCCGTTTCACGACGCTGCCACAGGAGGTGGAGTGGATCGAGGGCGCCTCAGGATCGCCCCGCTCCGCCCGACGGACGGGGCCACTCGGTGGGGAAGCGCCCCTCGAGGTTCAGAAATGAATCCCGCTTAGCGCAGGCTGCGTCACTACGGGCGGGCCCCCGCTCCGCGGGGCCATCAGAGAAAACGCCAGACGACGAGGCTGGAAAGGAGGAGGAGGAGGAGGAGGAGGAGGAAGTGTGTGGGGGGGGGGGGACGGTGAGGACGAGGATGGGGAGGAGGGGAAGAAGGATGAGGAGCAGGAGGGGAAGGAGCAGGACTGGAGTAAGCCCAAGATGTACCAACGATGCTGCAATACACCCTCCCGTCTCAAGTCCCCTTCTCATCAGTCTCCACAGGCATCCTTCTTCACTGCGCGAGGCATCCCTCTGACAAGACGCGCGGCCCACGGGCCCTGCAAGTCAGTTGGGAGCTCCGTCATGAAGAAACCCGCACTCCATCGTGACACTTGTTCACAAACGGGAAGCTCGGCCTCTGGGGCCCCCGGGCCGCAACCAGTCCCCCCTTCCAGTCCCTGGGGCCTCCCCGGGGCCTCCCTGGAGCCTTCCCGGGGTCTCCTGGGCACCAAATGAGTTCCAGGCGAGCCACCCTGGCTTCAGACGGCCCAAGAGGCCCAAAAGATGTCCCAAGACGGCTCTAAGAGGACCCTCAAGAGGGCCCGAAGAGGCAAACGTCGCCCCATTCATGTTTCCGAAGACGCACACTTCTAGCACGCTCCCTGTGTTCATGTGCGCAGCGTCCAAGACGGCCCCAGAGGCCCCCAGGAACGCTCCGACACGGCCCAAGAGGTCCCCCCAGAGGGCCCCAAGATGGCCCAAGAGGCACCCATGTCCGCACCGTAGCCAGTTTGGCTCAAGCCATTTTGGCTCAAGCCTCCTGAGGTGTTCTACAGCTGCTCTCGCCCTTACAAAAATTCCGATGTGATGCAGAGCTTCCTCGTGCTCTTCTGCTGCGCCGCCAGGCTGGTCAGCTCCCTCCGCCATCCCCAGGCGTCCGCCGCGCCCGCGCCGTCTCCGCGCCTGGCGGCTGCCGCAGACGCCCCCTCGCGGCGGGACCGGATCGCTGTGTTCTCCGCCCAATTTGGCGGTCGAGACCGTATTGCGTATAGAACGACAATTCATGGGGACATGAGTGAGGACACGGGTGATGAGGACGTCGGTTTCACTCGATGGGCTGAGGCATCTGGTCCGGCGGGGGAAAAGCTTCCAGATAGTGTCGATATGTTTCTTTATACCGATATGATCAACGTTTCGCAAACAAACACTTCGGCATGGAAGTTCGTATACCCGGCGATACAGTCAGAACAGCTTTGCAATGACAACGTATTATGTCAGTGGAAAGGGAACCATCATCTCACGCCGTCCCAGAAAAAGATGAAGTCCATTTTGGCATCAAAGTTTTTCAAGATACGCTGGATTGCCGAAAGCAAACAGTATGATTACATACTCTGGATGGATGGTAAATATTTGATAAGAAACCAGAATCTGATTGAGACAATCAAGGAGTATATGGGGAAGACTGTTGACATGCTTGTCATGAGACACCCTGGGAGAAAGCATGTTGCGCAGGAGGTGGGCCCAGCAAGCGAGCGTGCAGCGGATATCTTGGGTGATCCTTCTGTCATCCAGAGAGCAAGAGAAATATTTGAAGGGTACTTGCATGATGGTTTTTCTGATAAGATTGGACTCTTTGATTCAGCCATGTTCATCGTGAGACCAGCGCGCGTGCGTGATATGTTCATCGATTGGTGGCACGAAGTACAGCGAGGAGTTCCTCGTGATCAGATATCGTTGCCTTGGATGATCCAGAAGCATGGCATCAACTTCGTCTCCATAGCGCCTAAACCCTGTGCCGTCTTAGGCCGAGGCTGCAAGAACCCACATGCGCATCTTTGAGAGCGCCGCCACACTGAACACGCACAACACACCACGCACACAGCACACATCGCACACGTTTTCATTCTCAGCGCGCGTTTGGCGCAGCTCGCGGTTGGCGCGCATTTGGCGCGTCGACTGCTTCGCCTTCCGGCACCTTCTGGTAACTGATGTGTTTGTTGGTTGCCAGAACGAGCGGCAAAAAAAAGAGGCACCCCTGTCCGCCCACTACGGTCCCAAGAGGGGCCCCGGGGGGGAATTCGAACCCAAATTTTGAGGCCTCCGTTCCAAGATGACCCCGGAGATCGCCAGCAGGCCCCCAAGAACCTCCCCAAGAGGACCCGAAAAGGCTCCCAAGAGCCCCGAGAGTGGCCCTAAGAGGTGTCAAAACTGCCTCCACGAGGCTGCCCAGAGACTTCCCCAGAGATCCGAACAGGCCTTCAAGAGGTCTCACACCAACAACCCAGGCCCGGTGGCCCCTCCCTTCTGTCCTCACATTTCGAGGTCTCGAGCCCGAGAGGCCCCCAAGAATCGGGTATAGCCAGTCCGTAGCCATTTTGGCTCAAGCACTTCTGGCTCAAGAGCCCTCGGTGCAAACCGCGCAGGCGGCGCCTGTCGGCAGGCGCGCCCGTGGATCCGCAGCGGTGGCCGCACCGCCCACCGCGGGTGGCCAGGCTGCGCCACGGGCCGATCTCCGCGAGGCGTCGCGGGAGGAACATGGACGACAGCGCAACCCCGCATGCGGCAGTGCGTGCGTGGTCGAGCACCGCAGGTTCGCAAATTCAGGACGTGCTGTTCGAGCTGAACAACAAGGTGGCTCAAGAGGCAGCGGACCAGCAGGCGATTACCGAGAGGATGATGGACGACAAGTTCGCCGCGATGAGACAAGAGATGTGGGAGAGGCTGGACGAGGTACGGATGTCCAGCGCAGGGACTTCGTGGAGCAGCTAGCGGCGCTGACCCAGGCCACCAAGGGCCTGGTTGCGGACGCCATGCGGGCGGAGATGGACGCGCTGCGCCAGGACGTCGCCGGCCAGACTCCGCCTGCGGAGCCAGCGCCCCAGCCGGCCCCAGTGCTCGACGAGGCATTGGCGGAGCTGCGGGCGCGGTTGGAGGAGGCGGAGAGGAGCCACCACGGCGGCCACCACCAGCATCACCATCACCACAGATCAACAAGCAGCGTCTCCAACGACATCGGCGTGACGACAGCGCACGAGAAGGAGACTGTAGACATGTCGGTCGAGCAGGTCAAGCAGTCGTTGCGGCTCTCCGGCGCAGAGATGGACATGGATGGCAACGAGGCGACCTTCGAGGCCGAGGGCGGCGATTGGGACGAGAATCGCGAGCAGTCGCAATGGACTGGAACGGCGATATTCAGGTTGCCTCCTCCTGCTCCTCCTCGAGCCGACGGTCGGGGAGCGCGTGTTCGGCGCGCGCCCCGCGGGCTTGGAGGAGCAATGCTTTGTGGTGTAGAGTACCGCGAAAGTCGATCTTAACCCCAGGGGGAACCTGCATTTTTTTTTCTTCGGATTTGCACGTGCGGGCTCCTTGACACGAATTTCATGGATTGCCCCGAGTGCTCCGCAACCACGCTCCTCCATGCGCTAGTCGATCCTAGCCGCAGGGGGAACAAAAAACTGCAGATTTGCACGTGTGGGCTCCTTGACACGAATTTCATGGATTGCCCCAAGTGCTCCGCAGCCACGCTCCTCCATGTGCTAGTCGATACTAACCGCAGGGGAAATACTGCTGGTTTGCTGCAGATTTGCACGTGCGGGCTCCTTGACACGAGTTTCATTGATTGCCCCGAGTGCTCCGCAGCCACGCTCCTCCATGCGCTATGCGATCCGAGCCGCAGGGAGACATGCTGTTATTTTGCTGCAGATTTGCACCTGCGGGCTCCTTGACACGAATTTCATTGATTGCCCCCATTGCTCCGCAACCAAGGTCCTCCATGTGCCATCTTTTTTTGTTTGAGAGTCCCCACGGGGGCCCGAGGGAGCCACCGGAGGATCCCTACATGGTCGGAGAGGGCTCCATGAGGGCCCCAAGACGGCTCAGCTACCCATAACATGCCAAGAGGGGCTTGGCCGAGATGGGGCTCCCAGACGGGCCACAAAAGGCCCCAAAGAATTCCCCCACGACTGTCCAAGAGGCCGCTGAGAAGGCCCTCCAAAGGCAAAATCAAACATTTCCGATGGAAAAACGTATATCTTTGGGAGCTTCGCTTTTCAGTTCTACCAGCGGTCGCGACGGCCCAAGAGGTTACCAAAAAATGGGCCCCAGACGGCCCCAGAGGCCCGAAAGAGGGTTCCAAGATGGGCTGAAGGGAGCTTCAAGCGGCACAGAAGAGCTGCACGACGGCCCAAGAGAGCCCGAGGGGGCCACCAGAGGATTCCTATATGGTCGGAGAGGGCCCTAGGAGGGCCTCAAGACGGGCTGAGCTCCCCACGACGAGCCAAGAGGGCCCTGGAACGGCCGAAACGGGTCTTCAGACGGGCCAACAAAGGCCCCAAAGGACTCCAAAGGAAGGCCCGGAGAAGCTCCAGAGACTGCCACAATGCTTCCAAAGAGGCTCCCGGCACGCGTTCCAGTAGGCACCCGTGTACTGGGTGCGTTGAGAGAAGAGAGGAGGACGATGACAAGGAGGAGGAGGAGGAGGAGGAGGAGGAGGGAGGAGGAGGAGGAGGAGGAGGAGGAGGAGGAGCAGGGGGAGGAAGAGGAGGAGGAGGAGGAGGAGGAGGAGGATGAGGAGGATTGTTGTGGTGGTGATGGTGAAGGGGACCATGACCATGACGATGACGATGAAGATGACGGGGATGAGGATGACGATGATGACGATGATCATGACCCTAGCTAGAACTTGAGTGCGCGCGAAGCGCGCGCGATGGCTCTAGTATATATATATATATAGATACAGATATAGAGAGAGTTGCGTAATTCATTCATTTCTTTACATATATGTATACGTACGTATGTCTATTTCTTATATGATACATACACACATTTATATAAGACCCCCTAACCCTAATAACACGACGATGGTGATGGAGACGTGGCCTCACGGAGGTTCCGCCTTCCTGCGTCGGGGATCATGGATCTTGGCGGTTCGGCCCATCCGAAGTGTTCTTGGCCTCCCTAACGTAGGCCCCCCCCAAAGAGTCAGGAGTTTTTCCTTTGTTGGTCCAGACCTCGGGCGTCTTTTTTTTTCACGCTGTGGGCCCCCGGGGCCCTTGCCCCCCGAGGGGAGCGGGCGGTCCGGCGCGCACCAGGGGCGCCGCCGCACCCAGGCCTCCCGCGCCATCACCCCTCGAAGAGGAGGGAAGAGGAGGGAGGAGGGAGGAGGGAGGAGGGAGGAGGGAGGAGGGAGGAGGAGGGAGGGAGGGAGGGAGGGAGGGAGGGAGGAGGAGGAGGAGGAGGAGGAGGAGAAGGAGGAGGAGGACGACGAGGAGGAGGAGGAGGAGGAGGATAAGGAGGAGGACGACGAGGAGGAGAAGGAGGAGGAGGAGGACCAGTGAAAACCCCAGACTCCTGAAGGATGGTGCCATACAGCCTCTCTCCAAGTTCCGTTGCGTTGGCTCGTATAAGTTGTATTTTCCCTGCTGGAAGAGCCCCGTTGGACGACAACCGCTTGAAACGCTTCGACCGTTTCGAAGACCATTCTTGGGAGCGGAGCTCAACGCTGCGAGTGAACGTTACTCTTGCGACCTGGCATCCCAAATCGTCCCAGAACACCCTTGTTGGGACTTCGATACCGCAATTCAACGTGACTGTCGCACCCTGACAATCACAAATCGTCCCAGAACACCATTTCTGGGACGTCAGCCATAAGAACCCTCGTACCTGGTGTAAACTGTGAAGACGACTGCGCGCGGCGCCAAGGCGAGAGCCACGATTTGAAAAGGAACCGCCCTCCATCCGTTAAACTCTTACAAACTTGGGAAGGAATGTGCGCGGCGTTACGGCGAGGGCCACATGTTGAAAACGGGCCGCCCTCTATCTGTGAATCTCTTGCGGACTTTTAAGACGAATGCGCGCGGCGCGAATGCGAAAGCCACATGTTGGAAGCGGGTCGCCCTCTATGTGTGACTCACTGGCGAACTTTTAAGGCGAATGTGCGCGGCGCTAGGGCGACAGCCGCATGTTGAAAACGGGCCGCCTTCTATCCGTGATATTCTTGCAGGGTTCAAGCTTCAGGACCACTCATCGGGAGGAAGTCTCAGGCGAAACGCCCGCCCGCCCTACCGACCTGTGCCGGGGTGCGACAGGGAGGAGCTTCTTATAATGAAGAGGGTTGGAGGAGGAGGATCAGAAGGAGGGGGAGGACGAGGACGACGAAGAGGGAGAGAAAGCTGAGGGGGGAAAGGATGGCGAGGAGGGCGGGGATTGAGAGGAGTGTGGGGAAAGGATTGGGGGGAAGGGGGAAGAGGACAAGGAGGGAGGGGGTGGAAAAGGGAGGAGGGAGACCAGCGCGCGTGCGTGATATGTTCATCGATTGGTGGCACGAAGCACAGCGAGGAGTTCCTCGTGATCAGATATCGTTGCCTTGGATGATCCAGAAGCATGGCATCAACTTCGTCTCCATAGCGCCTAAACCCTGTGCTGCTGATGCTGATGATGATGATGATGCTGCTGATGCTGATGATGATGATGACGACGGTGCTCTGGCGATAAGGTGGTGCAACAGACTATTGACCTGCCTCTTTGTCCCAGCGTTGAAGCGCTCAAGGTAAAATGGCAGGCTCATTTCATTCGTTGCCCATATTGGTTCCAGTTCCAGCAGTGAGGCATTCGCACATCTGCTTATTTGCGAAACCATTTACATTTCGCAGTACATTCAGCAGACATCGCCCATGTGCATCTATTCCTTCATGATCATGCTAACGGCTTGGTGGTAGCGGTTATGATATTGTGAGGAATGCCGTCTCTTCCATCACACATTCTGCCACTTGTGGCAGGCAAATAGTGGTAAACCAGTTGCGACAATACTTGCACAACAATTCTAATTCGTGGTACCTCCAGATCTTCGTTGAGGTCGGTGCCATCCCCAGGCGCTCGTGCATGCGGGCGTTGAGCTTTCAGCCTGGCGGTGGGTTTTCGAAAACGTCGAGGATCTCGGGGCCTTCACCGTCCCTCGCAGCTCTTGCAGCTGATGAGCAGGCTTCAGAAGCCTAATCAATGCGGGTGCAGAAAGTGCCCGCATCAAGTTATGACATAATTTCTATCCCGAGGCCTCGGAAGTGAGGTTTCAAGAATGTCTACGTCGGAGTAACTCTGAGTGGTCGTGCCGGGTGGCCTGGCAACCGTCGATTCCCACATTGCGTCGTTGTTTTGTGACAGGTTCGGGCAGTGAGGCGGTGGCGGAGGAGTTCTGTCTGCCGCGATGGTCATGGGAAAGCTGGGTACCAAAGGCGGTCGCACAATACGCGAAGCGTGATGGTGATGCGCACACTGCGTGTGTGAATTGATATCCGCCACTGGGAAATTGCCACGTTTCTGATTGTCGCGACACGCACTGGCGATGCCCACCATCTGTTTTGAAATTTGACGGTTCGGTGTCGCACCTTTCGGGCCATACCAGTTGTTTATTGCAAAGAAGCGCTTTTTTGATGATTTCTTTGTGTTTGTGGATTGAGTTGCGCGCCGACCTGAAGCTGCGGCCCACTAATTTCTACATGTCCAGTCTTTGTTTTTTATGAATATGTGCGGCTAGGTGTGACCGCAATCTGTGTACTTTACGGTCACGGACGCGTCGCTTTTGGGATCGATTCTTTTTGACCTCTGTCTCACCACGTGCGCCGCCCAAAAATCGCCAAAGAAAGTCAATTCGTGACTATGGCGGCGTATTGTCAGTATGGCCCCAGGCCCGAGTCTTTCGGGCTCAAGGCTTCTCGTACTCCTCCTTTCCCTTCCAACCCTTCTTTCATTTCGACCCTGCGAAGGTGACGGTTGATGGCAGATGCAGCGCCGTGAATTGCCCGCGCGCCAGCGCGGCTTGCGAGACGCGTTAGGGGGTCCCCAGCGGTCAGCGCCACCGCTACCGCGTCGGTCGCGCCAGCCCAGCTGGCCGCTCTGCACACGAGCTTGCGCGCGCTAGCGGGCGGCCGCAGCGATGCGCCAGCCAGCGCCAGGCAGTCATCGCCATCGCCGCCGCAACGGTTTTGCAAACCAAGTTGCGGTTGGGTGGGTGGGATGATTGCGCGAGCATTTGTTTTGTTCAAATTCGGCAATGTGAGCCGCACCCCGTAGATCGCAACACACAGATTGCCCCATATAGACTGCGCAACGCATATTGCTAGAGTCAAACGGTTTGGAGCCCATTTTGGCCTACATATGTTCATATGTTGTTCGGACATGTTCCAGCGTCGTCCCCGCCCGAGGGTTCGTGGGTGCCTCGACGTCATCGTGGCGCCTGCCACGCGGTGCAAGAAGGCTTCCAAAACGGCTCAGGCAGGCAAAGAAGGCAGCCAAGATGGTCCAGCTTTGCTTCAAGAGACACCCCGAAGCAGTCAAGAGAATTCCAAGGGGCACCAAAGGGGCCCAACCAAGAGCCCAGACCCTCAATGTGCTCCCCACGAGGGCTTCGGGAGGCCAAATCACGCTGCTCTCCATCATTCCCAACCATCCTGTGGTGTTGGGTCCTCGTTTTGAAGAGACGGTGCCCCGCGTCTCCTTTCTTCCTCCTCCCCCTCCTCCCTCCTCCCCCATCCTGGCTTTTGCTCTCCGCATGTCTCTGTTTCGGCACACCCCTCACACGTTTCGTGGCCCCATAGGGAGCTCCACCTAAGGTCCCAGTGGCGGAACGGCCGAGGCTGCAAGAACCCACATGCGAATCTTTGAGAGCGCCGCCACACTGAACACGCACAACACACCACGCACTCAGCACACATCGCACACGTTTTCATTCTCAGCGCGCGTTTGGCGCAGCTCGCGGTTGGCGCGCATTTGGCGCGTCGAGTGCTTCGCCTTCCGGCACCTTCTGGTAACTGACGTGTTTGTTGGTTGCCAGAACGAGCGGCAAAAAAAAGAGGCACCCCTGTCCGCCCACTACGGTCCCAAGAGGGGCCCCGGGGGGGAATTCGAACCCACATTTTGAGGCCTCCGTTCCAAGAGGACCCCGGAGATCGCCAGCAGGCCCCCAAGAACCTCCCCAAGAGGACCCGAAAAGGCTCCCAAGAGCCCCGAGAGTGGCCCTAAGAGGTGTCAAAACTGCCTCCACGAGGCTGCCCAGAGACTTCCCCAGAGATCCGAACAGGCCTTCAAGAGGTCTCACACCAACAACCCAGGCCCGGTGGCCCCTCCCTTCTGTCCTCACATTTCGAGGTCTCGAGCCCGAGAGGCCCCCAAGAATCGGGTATAGCCAGTCCGTAGCCATTTTGGCTCAAGCACTTCTGGCTCAAGAGCCCTCGGTGCAAACCGCGCAGGCGGCGCCTGTCGGCAGGCGCGCCCGTGGATCCGCAGCGGTGGCCGCACCGCCCACCGCGGGTGGCCAGGCTGCGCCACGGGCCGATCTCCGCGAGGCGTCGCGGGAGGAACATGGACGACAGCGCAACCCCGCATGCGGCAGTGCGTGCGTGGTCGAGCACCGCAGGTTCGCAAATTCAGGACGTGCTGTTCGAGCTGAACAACAAGGTGGCTCAAGAGGCAGCGGACCAGCAGGCGATTACCGAGAGGATGATGGACGACAAGTTCGCCGCGATGAGACAAGAGATGTGGGAGAGGCTGGACGAGGTACGGATGTCCAGCGCAGGGACTTCGTGGAGCAGCTAGCGGCGCTGACCCAGGCCACCAAGGGCCTGGTTGCGGACGCCATGCGGGCGGAGATGGACGCGCTGCGCCAGGACGTCGCCGGCCAGACTCCGCCTGCGGAGCCAGCGCCCCAGCCGGCCCCAGTGCTCGACGAGGCATTGGCGGAGCTGCGGGCGCGGTTGGAGGAGGCGGAGAGGAGCCACCACGGCGGCCACCACCAGCATCACCATCACCACAGATCAACAAGCAGCGTCTCCAACGACATCGGCGTGACGACAGCGCACGAGAAGGAGACTGTAGACATGGTCGAGCAGGTCAAGCAGTCGTTGCGGCTCTCCGGCGCAGAGATGGACATGGATGGCAACGAGGCGACCTTCGAGGCCGAGGGCGGCGATTGGGACGAGAATCGCGAGCAGTCGCAATGGACTGGAACGGCGATATTCAGGTTGCCTCCTCCTGCTCCTCCTCGAGCCGACGGTCGGGGAGCGCGTGTTCGGCGCGCGCCCCGCGGGCTCGGAGGAGCAATGCCTTGTGGTGTAGAGTACCGCGAAAGTCGATCTTAACCGCAGGGGGAACCTGCATTTTTTTTTCTTCGGATTTGCACGTGCGGGCTCCTTGACACGAATTTCATGGATTGCCCCGAGTGCTCCGCAACCACGCTCCTCCATGCGCTAGTCGATCCTAGCCGCAGGGGGAACAACAAACTGCAGATTTGCACGTGTGGGCTCCTTGACACGAATTTCATGGATTGCCCCAAGTGCTCCGCAGCCACGCTCCTCCATGTGCTAGTCGATACTAACCGCAGGGGAAATACTGCTGGTTTGCTGCAGATTTGCACGTGCGGGCTCCTTGACACGAGTTTCATTGATTGCCCCGAGTGCTCCGCAACCACGCTCCTCCATGCGCTATTCGATCCTAGCCGCAGGGGGAACAAAAAACTGCAGATTTGCACTTGTGGGCTCCTTGACACGAATTTCATGGATTGCCCCAAGTGCTCCGCAGCCACGCTCCTCCATGTGCTAGTCGATACTAACCGCAGGGGAAATACTGCTGGTTTGCTGCAGATTTGCACGTGCGGGCTCCTTGACACGAGTTTCATTGATTGCCCCGAGTGCTCCGCAACCACGCTCCTCCATGCGCTATTCGATCCTAGCCGCAGGGAGACATGCTGTTTTTTTGCTGCAGATTTGCACCTGCGGGCTCCTTGACACGAATTTTATTGATTGCCCCCATTGCTCCGCAACCAAGGTCCTCCATGTGCCCTCTTTTTTTGTTTGAGAGTCCCCATGGGGGCCCGAGGGAGCCACCAGAGGATCCCTACATGGTCGGAGAGGGCTCCATGAGGGCCCCAAGACGGCTCAGCTACCTATGACATGCCAAGAGGGGCTTGGCCGAGATGGGGCTCCCAGACGGGCCACAAAAGGCCCCAAATAATTCCCCCACGACTGTCCAAGAGGCCGCTGAGAAGGCCCTCCAAAGGCAAAATCAAACATTTCCGATGGAAAAACGTATATCTTTGGGAGCTTCGCTTTTCAGTTCTACCAGCGGTCGCGACGGCCCAAGAGGTTACCAAAAAATGGGCCCCAGACGGCCCCAGAGGCCCGAAAGAGGGTTCCAAGATGGGCTGAAGAGAGCTTCAAGCGGCACAGAAGAGCTGCACGACGGCCCAAGAGAGCCCGAGGGGGCCACCAGAGGATTCCTATATGGTCGGAGAGGGCCCTAGGAGGGCCTCAAGACGGGCTGAGCTCCCCACGACGAGCCAAGAGGGCCCCGGAACGGCCGAAACGGGTCTTCAGACGGGCCAACAAAGGCCCCAAAGGACTCCAAAGGAAGGCCCGGAGAAGCTCCAGAGACTGCCACAATGCTTCCAAAGAGGCTCCCGGCACGCGTTCCAGTAGGCACCCGTGTACTGGGTGCGTTGAGAGAAGAGAGGAGGAGGATGACAAGGAGGAGGAGGAGGAGGAGGAGGAGGAGGAGGAGGAGGAGGAGGAGGAGGAGGAGGAAGAGAAGGAGGAGGAGGTAGGAGGAGGAGGAGAGGAGGAGGTCCCTGGTACGTCAGGAGGAGGAGGAGGAGATGAGGAGGGGATGAGGAGAGGAGGAGGAGGAGCAGGGGGAGAGGAGGAGAGAGGAGATGATGAGAGGAGAGGAGGGGATGAGAGGATTGTTGTGGTGGTGATGGTGAAGGGGACCATGACCATGACGATGACGATGAAGATGACGGGGATGAGGATGACAATGATGACGATGATCATGACCCTAGCTAGAACTTGAGTGCGCGCGAAGCGCGCGCGATGGCTCTAGTATATATATATATATAGATACAGAGATAGAGAGAGTTGTGTAATTCATTCATTTCTTTACATATATGTATACGTACGTATGTCTATTTCTTATGTGATACATACACACATTTATATAAGACCCCCTAACCCTAATAACACGACGATGGTGATGGAGACGTGGCCTCACGGAGGTTCCGCCTTCCTGCGTCGGGGATCATGGATCTTGGCGGTTCGGCCCATCCGAAGTGTTCTTGGCCTCCCTAACGTAGGCCCCCCCCAAAGAGTCAGGAGTTTTTCCTTTGTTGGTCCAGACCTCGGGCGTCTTTTTTTTTCACGCTGTGGGCCCCCGGGGCCCTTGCCCCCCGAGGGGAGCGGGCGGTCCGGCGCGCACCAGGGGCGCCGCCGCACCCAGGCCTCCCGCGCCATCACCCCTCGAAGAGGAGGGAAGAGGAGGGAGGAGGGAGGAGGGAGGAGGGAGGAGGGAGGAGGGAGGAGGAGGGAGGGAGGGAGGGAGGGAGGGAGGGAGGAGGAGGAGGAGGAGGAGGAGGAGAAGGAGGAGGAGGACGACGAGGAGGAGGAGGAGGAGGAGGATAAGGAGGAGGACGACGAGGAGGAGAAGGAGGAGGAGGAGGACCAGTGAAAACCCCAGACTCCTGAAGGATGGTGCCATACAGCCTCTCTCCAAGTTCCGTTGCGTTGGCTCGTATAAGTTGTATTTTCCCTGCTGGAAGAGCCCCGTTGGACGACAACCGCTTGAAACGCTTCGACCGTTTCGAAGACCATTCTTGGGAGCGGAGCTCAACGCTGCGAGTGAACGTTACTCTTGCGACCTGGCATCCCAAATCGTCCCAGAACACCCTTGTTGGGACTTCGATACCGCAATTCAACGTGACTGTCGCACCCTGACAATCACAAATCGTCCCAGAACACCATTTCTGGGACGTCAGCCATAAGAACCCTCGTACCTGGTGTAAACTGTGAAGACGACTGCGCGCGGCGCCAAGGCGAGAGCCACGATTTGAAAAGGAACCGCGCCCTCCATCCGTTAAACTCTTACAAACTTGGGAAGGAATGTGCGCGGCGTTACGGCGAGGGCCACATGTTGAAAACGGGCCGCCCTCTATCTGTGAATCTCTTGCGGACTTTTAAGACGAATGCGCGCGGCGCGAATGCGAAAGCCACATGTTGGAAGCGGGTCGCCCTCTATGTGTGACTCACTGGCGAACTTTTAAGGCGAATGTGCGCGGCGCTAGGGCGACAGCCGCATGTTGAAAACGGGCCGCCTTCTATCCGTGATATTCTTGCAGGGTTCAAGCTTCAGGACCACTCATCGGGAGGAAGTCTCAGGCGAAACGCCCGCCCGCCCTACCGACCTGTGCCGGGGTGCGACAGGGAGGAGCTTCTTATAATGAAGAGGGTTGGAGGAGGAGGATCAGAAGGAGGGGGAGGACGAGGACGACGAAGAGGGAGAGAAAGCTGAGGGGGGAAAGGATGGCGAGGAGGGCGGGGATTGAGAGGAGTGTGGGGAAAGGATTGGGGGGAAGGGGGAAGAGGACAAGGAGGGAGGGGGTGGAAAAGGGAGGAGGGAGACCAGCGCGCGTGCGTGATATGTTCATCGATTGGTGGCACGAAGCACAGCGAGGAGTTCCTCGTGATCAGATATCGTTGCCTTGGATGATCCAGAAGCATGGCATCAACTTCGTCTCCATAGCGCCTAAACCCTGTGCTGCTGATGCTGATGATGATGATGATGCTGCTGATGCTGATGATGATGATGACGACGGTGCTCTGGCGATAAGGTGGTGCAACAGACTATTGACCTGCCTCTTTGTCCCAGCGTTGAAGCGCTCAAGGTAAAATGGCAGGCTCATTTCATTCGTTGCCCATATTGGTTCCAGTTCCAGCAGTGAGGCATTCGCACATCTGCTTATTTGCGAAACCATTTACATTTCGCAGTACATTCAGCAGACATCGCCCATGTGCATCTATTCCTTCATGATCATGCTAACGGCTTGGTGGTAGCGGTTATGATATTGTGAGGAATGCCGTCTCTTCCATCACACATTCTGCCACTTGTGGCAGGCAAATAGTGGTAAACCAGTTGCGACAATACTTGCACAACAATTCTAATTCGTGGTACCTCCAGATCTTCGTTGAGGTCGGTGCCATCCCCAGGCGCTCGTGCATGCGGGCGTTGAGCTTTCAGCCTGGCGGTGGGTTTTCGAAAACGTCGAGGATCTCGGGGCCTTCACCGTCCCTCGCAGCTCTTGCAGCTGATGAGCAGGCTTCAGAAGCCTAATCAATGCGGGTGCAGAAAGTGCCCGCATCAAGTTATGACATAATTTCTATCCCGAGGCCTCGGAAGTGAGGTTTCAAGAATGTCTACGTCGGAGTAACTCTGAGTGGTCGTGCCGGGTGGCCTGGCAACCGTCGATTCCCACATTGCGTCGTTGTTTTGTGACAGGTTCGGGCAGTGAGGCGGTGGCGGAGGAGTTCTGTCTGCCGCGATGGTCATGGGAAAGCTGGGTACCAAAGGCGGTCGCACAATACGCGAAGCGTGATGGTGATGCGCACACTGCGTGTGTGAATTGATATCCGCCACTGGGAAATTGCCACGTTTCTGATTGTCGCGACACGCACTGGCGATGCCCACCATCTGTTTTGAAATTTGACGGTTCGGTGTCGCACCTTTCGGGCCATACCAGTTGTTTATTGCAAAGAAGCGCTTTTTTGATGATTTCTTTGTGTTTGTGGATTGAGTTGCGCGCCGACCTGAAGCTGCGGCCCACTAATTTCTACATGTCCAGTCTTTGTTTTTTATGAATATGTGCGGCTAGGTGTGACCGCAATCTGTGTACTTTACGGTCACGGACGCGTCGCTTTTGGGATCGATTCTTTTTGACCTCTGTCTCACCACGTGCGCCGCCCAAAAATCGCCAAAGAAAGTCAATTCGTGACTATGGCGGCGTATTGTCAGTATGGCCCCAGGCCCGAGTCTTTCGGGCTCAAGGCTTCTCGTACTCCTCCTTTCCCTTCCAACCCTTCTTTCATTTCGACCCTGCGAAGGTGACGGTTGATGGCAGATGCAGCGCCGTGAATTGCCCGCGCGCCAGCGCGGCTTGCGAGACGCGTTAGGGGGTCCCCAGCGGTCAGCGCCACCGCTACCGCGTCGGTCGCGCCAGCCCAGCTGGCCGCTCTGCACACGAGCTTGCGCGCGCTAGCGGGCGGCCGCAGCGATGCGCCAGCCAGCGCCAGGCAGTCATCGCCATCGCCGCCGCAACGGTTTTGCAAACCAAGTTGCGGTTGGGTGGGTGGGATGATTGCGCGAGCATTTGTTTTGTTCAAATTCGGCAATGTGAGCCGCACCCCGTAGATCGCAACACACAGATTGCCCCATATAGACTGCGCAACGCATATTGCTAGAGTCAAACGGTTTGGAGCCCATTTTGGCCTACATATGTTCATATGTTGTTCGGACATGTTCCAGCGTCGTCCCCGCCCGAGGGTTCGTGGGTGCCTCGACGTCATCGTGGCGCCTGCCACGCGGTGCAAGAAGGCTTCCAAAACGGCTCAGGCAGGCAAAGAAGGCAGCCAAGATGGTCCAGCTTTGCTTCAAGAGACACCCCGAAGCAGTCAAGAGAATTCCAAGGGGCACCAAAGGGGCCCAACCAAGAGCCCAGACCCTCAATGTGCTCCCCACGAGGGCTTCGGGAGGCCAAATCACGCTGCTCTCCATCATTCCCAACCATCCTGTGGTGTTGGGTCCTCGTTTTGAAGAGACGGTGCCCCGCGTCTCCTTTCTTCCTCCTCCCCCTCCTCCCTCCTCCCCCATCCTGGCTTTTGCTCTCCGCATGTCTCTGTTTCGGCACACCCCTCACACGTTTCGTGGCCCCATAGGGAGCTCCACCTAAGGTCCCAGTGGCGGAACGGCCGAGGCTGCAAGAACCCACATGCGAATCTTTGAGAGCGCCGCCACACTGAACACGCACAACACACCACGCACTCAGCACACATCGCACACGTTTTCATTCTCAGCGCGCGTTTGGCGCAGCTCGCGGTTGGCGCGCATTTGGCGCGTCGAGTGCTTCGCCTTCCGGCACCTTCTGGTAACTGACGTGTTTGTTGGTTGCCAGAACGAGCGGCAAAAAAAAGAGGCACCCCTGTCCGCCCACTACGGTCCCAAGAGGGGCCCCGGGGGGGAATTCGAACCCACATTTTGAGGCCTCCGTTCCAAGAGGACCCCGGAGATCGCCAGCAGGCCCCCAAGAACCTCCCCAAGAGGACCCGAAAAGGCTCCCAAGAGCCCCGAGAGTGGCCCTAAGAGGTGTCAAAACTGCCTCCACGAGGCTGCCCAGAGACTTCCCCAGAGATCCGAACAGGCCTTCAAGAGGTCTCACACCAACAACCCAGGCCCGGTGGCCCCTCCCTTCTGTCCTCACATTTCGAGGTCTCGAGCCCGAGAGGCCCCCAAGAATCGGGTATAGCCAGTCCGTAGCCATTTTGGCTCAAGCACTTCTGGCTCAAGAGCCCTCGGTGCAAACCGCGCAGGCGGCGCCTGTCGGCAGGCGCGCCCGTGGATCCGCAGCGGTGGCCGCACCGCCCACCGCGGGTGGCCAGGCTGCGCCACGGGCCGATCTCCGCGAGGCGTCGCGGGAGGAACATGGACGACAGCGCAACCCCGCATGCGGCAGTGCGTGCGTGGTCGAGCACCGCAGGTTCGCAAATTCAGGACGTGCTGTTCGAGCTGAACAACAAGGTGGCTCAAGAGGCAGCGGACCAGCAGGCGATTACCGAGAGGATGATGGACGACAAGTTCGCCGCGATGAGACAAGAGATGTGGGAGAGGCTGGACGAGGTACGGATGTCCAGCGCAGGGACTTCGTGGAGCAGCTAGCGGCGCTGACCCAGGCCACCAAGGGCCTGGTTGCGGACGCCATGCGGGCGGAGATGGACGCGCTGCGCCAGGACGTCGCCGGCCAGACTCCGCCTGCGGAGCCAGCGCCCCAGCCGGCCCCAGTGCTCGACGAGGCATTGGCGGAGCTGCGGGCGCGGTTGGAGGAGGCGGAGAGGAGCCACCACGGCGGCCACCACCAGCATCACCATCACCACAGATCAACAAGCAGCGTCTCCAACGACATCGGCGTGACGACAGCGCACGAGAAGGAGACTGTAGACATGGTCGAGCAGGTCAAGCAGTCGTTGCGGCTCTCCGGCGCAGAGATGGACATGGATGGCAACGAGGCGACCTTCGAGGCCGAGGGCGGCGATTGGGACGAGAATCGCGAGCAGTCGCAATGGACTGGAACGGCGATATTCAGGTTGCCTCCTCCTGCTCCTCCTCGAGCCGACGGTCGGGGAGCGCGTGTTCGGCGCGCGCCCCGCGGGCTCGGAGGAGCAATGCCTTGTGGTGTAGAGTACCGCGAAAGTCGATCTTAACCGCAGGGGGAACCTGCATTTTTTTTTCTTCGGATTTGCACGTGCGGGCTCCTTGACACGAATTTCATGGATTGCCCCGAGTGCTCCGCAACCACGCTCCTCCATGCGCTAGTCGATCCTAGCCGCAGGGGGAACAACAAACTGCAGATTTGCACGTGTGGGCTCCTTGACACGAATTTCATGGATTGCCCCAAGTGCTCCGCAGCCACGCTCCTCCATGTGCTAGTCGATACTAACCGCAGGGGAAATACTGCTGGTTTGCTGCAGATTTGCACGTGCGGGCTCCTTGACACGAGTTTCATTGATTGCCCCGAGTGCTCCGCAACCACGCTCCTCCATGCGCTATTCGATCCTAGCCGCAGGGGGAACAAAAAACTGCAGATTTGCACTTGTGGGCTCCTTGACACGAATTTCATGGATTGCCCCAAGTGCTCCGCAGCCACGCTCCTCCATGTGCTAGTCGATACTAACCGCAGGGGAAATACTGCTGGTTTGCTGCAGATTTGCACGTGCGGGCTCCTTGACACGAGTTTCATTGATTGCCCCGAGTGCTCCGCAACCACGCTCCTCCATGCGCTATTCGATCCTAGCCGCAGGGGGAACAAAAAACTGCAGATTTGCACTTGTGGGCTCCTTGACACGAATTTCATGGATTGCCCCAAGTGCTCCGCAGCCACGCTCCTCCATGTGCTATCGTTTTTCGGTTGAGAGTCCCCAGGGGGCTCGAGGGAGCAACCAGAGGATCCCTACATGGTCGGAATGAGGGTCATGAGGGCTCCCAAGACGGCTCAGCTACCTATGACATGCCAAGAGGGCCAAGAGGCTTGGCGAGATGGGGCTCCAGACGGGCACAAAAGGCAAATAATTCCCCACGACTGTCCAAGAGGCCCGTGAGAAGCTCCAAAGGCAAGAATTCAACATTTCCGATGGAAAAACTATATCTTTGGGAGCTGCGCTTTCAGTTGCTACCAGCGTCGCGACGGCCCAAAGAGGTACCAAAAAATTGGCCCCAGACGCCCAGACTCCCGAAAGAGGCGTTCCAGAAAGGCTGAACGGAGCTTTCAAGCGGCACAGAAGAGCT